ACAGATTTGTAAACAGTAATGGTGGTATATTACTCGAGTTTCTAGAGTGTGATGTCATATAACATTCTGTTTTGGGGAAGTTCACCAGGAGCAGAGCGTATACTCTTAATTCAGGAAAAAAGCAGTAAGAACGCTATTCAAAAGTTGTAGGCCACTTCTTATAAAATCAAAAATAATGCCCGTTTACTCGTTGTACATTTATAAATGTTTGATGTTCGTAAAAGAAAATCTGAATGGTATATTATGCCGAGAGGAGTTACATAAGTACAGTACGAGAAATCAAAAATTGTTACAAATCCCTTACCATAGGTTCTCGACATGCCAACAATCTGTTTACTACCAAGAAATACGATTTTATAATAAATTGCGGGAGGACACAAAATCCCTTTCACGAGAACAATTTAAACATGTCCTAAAATTATGAATTCACGGATAAGCCATTTGTAATTGTCACTTATTGAAATTGTAAACGTACTCTTGACGACTGGTAACTTTATGTTTTTTTTTTTTGGAATAAATTATTATTATTATTATAAATAAGATCAAGTTCTCCATTGACAGTAAGCAACATTTCCAAACTACGATTAGTAGTACATAGCTTTCTGCAAAAAGTATTTATTAATCTATAAGCAGATCTAGTACTGTATTAACAGTATCTAGTCTTCATCCAACCTTATTCAGTATATGAGGAGTCTTTTGTGAGCCAACAAATAACGTTCGTGTCAAACTAATTTCAGATTAGGGATTTAGTATGTCTAAAAATGTTTGCTTTTTGACAATTTAAACATGTTCTTGACCACAATTGTACAATGTGTTAATTAATTATCGGAGCCGACGTCATCATTACAAGTATGCAACCAATGTCACAGTATTGGAATTGCAATACGCGATTTGCGTATTTGGTTGCATATTTGCAATGATGACGTACGATAATTAATTAACACAGTGTATGTCTTAATTCATATGTGGATAAAAAATCGAATGGATAGTCTTTTTAACTCCCGGAAGCGCAAATTATGAAATAATATCAAAAATAATTTTTCAACATTTTTCTGGTACATACATTTTTACAATGTTTATAGAAGTTTCGCACAAGCGTTGCGTTTTGAGCTGATTTAAAGTATTTAAAAATTGTTTTTCTAAAAAATGGTTCAATTGTTTGTCCTTGCCTTGTTCGTATTGTAGTGATTGTATATCCGGGAATTAGTCAACGAAATCAACATTTATTCGAGATAGAGTATCCGCTACTTAATATACCTAATATTTGAAGTATATTTTGCAATAAAGTTTAAATAACGCGCTTGATGTGCAGTTTTTTCTATTTTAGAAAAAATAGCATTTATTAAATGCTTGTGGTCAGTGTAGACCACAAATTTATTTCCGTCCAGATAATATTAAAAAAATTTAATGGCAGAATAAATCGTTTAGAATTCTTTGTCGAATGTTGAATATTTTATTTGACTTGGACAGAGATTTTTTGAGAAAAAACCTAAAGGTTGCGCTCTGTTGTTTACGGTTTGTGAAAGAACTGCTCCTATAGCTGTGTTAGAAGCGTCTGTAGTTAGTGATAGTGTGGCGTGTGGTGAAGGGTGTCCAAAAATGGTTGATTGAGCTAATTTTTCTTTTAAGGTTATAAAAGCTTTGTCATGTGCAAGTACTGATAAATGTTTCTTTTTTTGTATTAAGAGTATTGGCAAGATAAATCTATGATAAAAATTTATCATTGCCAAAAATCTTTGTAGATCTTTAAGCGTTTTTGGTTTTTGGAAATTTTGAAATTGCTACCTCGTTTATTTTTTCCTGGCATATGTCAAGGACCTTGAATATTATAGCTTTTTCACTACTTCCAGTTTTTGAATCTGATTCTTAGATTTTCTTTATTTTCACTGCCGTTCTTTTGGATCACGTGTTCTATGGTGCGCAGGAGTTCGACGTTTCGGAAAGAAAATCATATGATAATCCACTTCACTCCATGATGCAAAATATTGAATAATTGCAGGATATAAATAAATTTGTTACATGAAAGAAAGAACTTTTAAAATTTTAGTTCCCTTAAAAGATCTTGACTTCTGGTTTTCCAGTCATTGTAAACTTGTTCAGATCTAGTACTCTATTAGCAGTATTTGTTCTTCATCCAACCTTATTCAGTCTTCTATGAGGAGTCTCTTATGAGCCAACGAATAACGTTCGTGTCAGACTAAGTACTTAATTTCAGGTTAGTTTTTACGATTCCTAGTTTTTTTCTATTTGGATTATTTGGGGCTACCTCCTTTATTTTTTCTTGACACATGTCAAGGACCTTGAATATTATAGCTTTTCACTACGTCCAGTTTTTGGATCTGACTCTTAGATTTTCTTTATTTTTACTGCCGTTCTTTTGGATCACATTCTATTTCGACGTTTCGAAAATAAAATCACATGATAATCCACTTCAGTCCATCAGGTAAAATTTTGAAGAATTGTAGGAATTACATGAAACGAAGGACTTAGAAAACTTGACTTCCCTTAAAAGATCTTGACTTCTGGTTTTCCAGTCATTGTAAATTTGTTCCAATGCAGATTTAGTACTGTATTAGCAGTATCTCGTCTTTATCCAGCCTTATTCAGTAGTCAGTCTTCTGGCTGAACCTCGCCCTTCGTCGATTATGTTACTCTAATTGTGTTTGGTTTAGAGAGAAATACAGACCTTTATTATTCAGTCTTCTATGAGGAGTCTCTTGTTAGCCAACAAATAACGTTTGTGTCAGACTAAGTACACGTTAGTTTCCACGATTCCTAGTTTTTTTTTCTGTCTGGATTGTTTAGGACTACCTCCTTTATTTTTTCCTGATATATGTCAAGGACCTTGAATATTATAGCTTTTTCACTACTTCCAGTTTTTGGATCTGCCTCTTAGATTTTCTTTATTTTGATTGCCGTTCTTCTGGATCACGTGTTCTATGGTGCACAAGAGTTTCTGGACTGACATTCTATTTCTACGTTTTGGAAAGAAAATCACATGATAATCCACTTCAGTCCATCACGTAAAATTTTGAATAATTGTAGAAATGAAGGAGTTAGAAAACGTAATTAAAAGATCTTGACTTATAGTTTTGCAGTCATTGTAAATTTGTTCCAATGCAGATTTAGTACTCTATTACCAGTATCTAGTCTTCATCCAACCTTATTCAGTCTTCTATAAGGAGTGTCTTGTGAACCAACAATTAACGTTCGTGTCAGACTATGTGTTTAATTTCAGGTTAGTTTCTACGATTCCTAGTTTTTTTCTATTTGTATTCTTTGGGGCTACCTCCTTGATGGTTTCCTGGCATATGTTAAGGATCTTGAACATTACAGCTTTTTCACTACTTTCAGTTTTTGGATGTGACTCTTAGATTTTCTTTATTTTCATTGCCGTTGTTCTAGATCACGTGTTCTATGGTGCGCAGGAGTTTCTGGACTGACATTCTATTTCGACGTTTCGGAAAGAAAATCACATGATTATCCACTTCACTCCATCATGCAAAATTTTGACTTCTGGTTTTCCATTCATTGTAAACATCCGATTCATTATTTTATGATAACCACTTTCTTTGTTGTACTTGTGATGAGGCGAGTGTTTTTGAAGGCATCTTCCAGAAAAGGTGAGATCATTTGGGGTTGGTGCAGAATCTTTTATTCCATTTGGCACAAATGCAAATAAATGAATCACAAATGAATGATGAAATCACTGTTTCGAAGAAGTTCATTAACAATTCTTCTTTGAAACATAGATGTGTTGAATGCGAAGATAAATAGGTATTTCTTGTGAGTGAAATGTATTCTGAAGCTTTTTCAATAAAAATTTAATTTCAAATGTTAATAATTAAAAATTAAATAACATTTTGCAAAAATTATTATGGAACAAGAACCCATAAACACTCAAAATCATCTCCTTTATCTGCCCACTTCGCAGATTACATTTCTTCTTGTAGCAAAAGCTGATTTAATAAAATTTTTACATCCATTAGCTAATCATAACTCTTGATGCCCCATCTCAACCCAATTTTACAATCATTAAATTTTGTTAATAAAAAATTAATTAATTAATTTTAGTTACAATTTTTTAAAGCAAAATTATTTTGTTGAAAATTTTGAAAGGAAATTATTGAAAACTCGTTACAGCTAAATTATAAAACACAGGATAGAAAGGGAATTTAATTAATTTTGTAAAAAGAGTTGTGCTGCCACCACATAGATTTAAATAAAAAAAAGGAAAACAAGATTTATGTGATTATTCGACGTTTATTGGATTCTCTAGGTTACCTTAAAAGAATTTTACATTTTTAAATTTCGTAATCAATTTATTGAGAATTCTACGAATTTTATCAAACTTTTTTCCTACCTCATTTGGTTTTCGCAACCAAACCGGAATCATAATCAGGCATAATCATTGCTTCAATGTCAATCTTTTAATCTACATACACAAAAAAATGATCTCAAAGGATTTATGTCAGGGTCTTTTCCGTCTTGATTTCCCACCTACTACACTAACAATTAAAAATTATACCCAAATCGATGGATTGACCTTAGTACTTAACATTTGTAACAATTTAAAGAGATGTAATGATAAAAAATCTACGTCTAGAAAAGATTATCTAGATTTATTTGTATTTTCCTGCTTTTAATTGAGCCAATGTAAGAGATAATTGAGATTAAAAGATCTAATTAAATTCATTGCGCGTAAGCGTTTTCTAATAACTCTTTTTTTGCGTAATGAGTCATTGTTTAATCGCCGGTTCTTGATCAACAAATAATAATCGAAGAATGCATAATAAGAAAATTGCGCTGGTTTACCACAAACAATTTTATTTTGCACGTCACGGACTTGACATTTTCTATTCTTAGATGAGTTAAAATGAATCTAATAACTACTTTCATTCATTAATTTATTTAAAAAAATTTATTAATGAATCTATTTGTTTAGATTAAATTTGAAGATTTTTAAATCAATTTTTAATGGTGGTTAATTTTATTATTACCTGTACAAAAAATGTATCCTAAGGCAAACATAACACAGCACAAAACGCACACATACTTATCCATTGTTTTCTTATACGACTATGTTCGTGCATCTCGCAGAGAGACTGCGTTTCTTCTTTTCAGCAAAGGTGGGGCTCCCCCTCTAAATCCTTCTCTTCTCGGGTGTCTCTTGAGGTTGTTTGGATGGGGACACCAAGTTGCAACATTATATGACTTTAATTTTTATCTTTAACTTAATTAAATTCAAATAATTAATAAATAATTTTTTTTTTACAGAAAATTACTTCATATCTTAACCGAACATCGAAGGATTTGGATTCGAAATCAAACGAAATTAAAACAAACTTATCAATTGAAATAAGCAGGCATTTTGAAAATTTCCACGCAAAACTTCAAAGAATCGAAACGAATCTTCACGAGCAATTAGAGCAACATAAAACGTCGAAAAAGAAATCGTTAATTATTACTCGAGAGAAGGTCCAGCAAAATTTAACCTTTTTAACCAAATTATCTAATTGTGCCAAACAGTTACTCAACAAAGAAGATGTTAAATACGACGTTGAATTTATTATTAAAAATTTAATGTTGGCTTTAAAAGTGAAGTGCCATTTGATGCAGCAAGAAGTTGACGACCACATAAAAATTGATTTTGGATCTGCCATCCATGACATAGACGACTCTTATCATTTTCAACGCGACCAAAAAAACGAATTCTTTCTTATCCATACTCAAGATTTACCCGAAGAATACAAACTTAACGATGCCATTTCTTTGGATTCTATTTCAAGTCAATCTACATCATTAACAAATGGTAAAAAAGTTAATTTATACAGTAAAACCTCGATATAACGGATTAATACGGGGAAGGGAGTATTCATTCATATACAGGTGTTTAGAAATCTTAATGTTAAAATGTTGTATAAAACAAATTTTTTTTTTTTCTGTCACCTACAAATTTGGTGTGACAGCTACCTATGATTTTACTGTATTTTTCGCTAATATTACTCGAATTGCATCAAGTTATTCTTTAAAACAGTGTCAAATTGTGAGTTTAACATACATAAGATAATCGTTGTTAGTTTCTCAACATGTAAAGGAAGTGTATTAATCATCTTAACAATTTTTCCCACATATCTGGTGAACTGACTTTGAAAAACCAGCGACGAAATTTCACTGAACTAGTGAAGCAGTGTTATTATTATTATTGAAAAAAAGAGCGCTTCGACGTCATAGGCCATTAGCACTTACAATAATTTCACTCAGGATCACATAGTAGCACATTAAGAGTATTCAAAGTTGGTCGAATAGTTGTATGTCTTTAAAATATTTGATCAGATTCAATGAGTTTTCATAGGCAGACTCTATGCTTGTTATATTATAAATATTTCTTGCTTGTTCACATAATGTACATTCTAAAATGATGTGTTCTAAAGTGAGTTCCCTACTACAATTTGAACAACGATGTATGGCCAATACGCAATCACTTAGTTTCACTTGTTCTGACCTGCTTAATTCCCTTTCGGAACTTATTCTATAGACATGGAGTTTGATTTTTCTCAAGAAACTTATAAATCAAGGATCTTACATGTTTTGCAATATCTTTATGTCTGCAAAAGTTCACATCCATTGTTACTTTGTCTGCAGCCTCGGATGCTGCATAATCAGCACGTTCATTCCCCCCAATTCCAACGTGACTTGGCACCCATATAAAAATAACTTTATGATTTTGTTTTGTAATGCTATCTAGTGTGCCTAAGATTTGTTGTAGCATTGCTTCTTTTGTGTACAGGTTTTGTAAGGATTTAATACTACCAAGCGAATCACTTATTATTAGAAAATTGCGGTTATTGAGGTTCATATTTATGTATAGTAGTGCTTGGAATATTGCATATAACTCTGCAAGAAATATTGAGGAACATGGTTGAAGCGTCCAGGAATGTTCTATATTATCGACTGATATTGCACTACCAACACCGTTTTCTTTTTTTGATCCATCAGTGTAAACACAAAAGGCATCAGGATAAGTATGCACTATGTCGTGAAAATCAGCAAGAAACATTGCATGGGGGGCGTTTGATTTTGAAAATTTAGTGAGTTCCAACCTAGCTTCAATGGAATTCAACAACCATGGAGGCACTTCAGAATATTGGTAGGTAACTACCTGAGGTGTGAAGCAGTGTTATCGTGTTAATTTTGGTTTCTCTGTGACTCATCAAGATATCATGATTTTGACAGCCTGTAGATCACGTATCTTATTGCTACTTTTGCTCAAAACATACTATGAAATATGCAAATGTACATTCTGCATCACGACCACTTCGTCATAGTGCTGATTTACCTCTACCAAATCAGACAAATGACGCAGAAAATGATGTCATCGATTTACCTTCATTTAGTGCAATTGAAGATGAAATTCATGATCCCACATAGGTTGGATCATGAAGGTAAGGAACATCATTTCCTAACTCAAGCTGATCTTAACAATATGGTGCGCGACTTAAAATTATCAAAAAAGCAATCTGAATTATTAGGATCCAGATTGCATCCCGATACCAAGGTGTGTCTTTTTCGTAGCTGTGACGAAGAATTAACAAAATAATTCTCACAATAAGAAAATTTTGTGTATTGCAATGACACTACTTCGGTTATGCACTTGCTAGATATTAAATTTGAACCACAAGTAAAGAATCTTACAGGTTGGGCAAAAGGAACGCGATATATGGCTTTTGAAAACCCCATGATTTGGACAGGGCCTGTAGATCACATATCTGATTGCTACTTTTTCTTGACTAATATAAATGGAATGAATACGGCGTTAAAACATACTGTGAAATATGCAAATATACATTCTGCATCACGACCACTTCGTCATAGTGCTGATTTACCTGCAATGCCAAATCAGACAAATCACGCAGAAAATGATGTCATCGATTACTTTCATGTAGTGCAATTGAAGATGAAATTCATTATCCAGCCTATGTGCCTGTAGGTAAGAAACATCAATTCCAAACTCAAGCTGATCTTAACGACTTAAAATTGTCAAAAAAGCAGTCTGAAGTATTAGGATTCAGATTGAAAGAATGGAATTTGCTTCATCCCGATATTAAGGTCTGTTTCGTAGTAGTGACAAAGAACTAACAAAATACTTCTGCAAGAAAAAAATTTAGTGTATTGCAATAATGTTAGTTCGGTCATAAACTTGCTAGATATTGAATTTGAATCACAAGATTGGCGCTTAATTATAGACTCGTCAAAAAGCTGTATTTCTGCAAAATGGAAATAGATTACTCTCTGTTCCGGTAGCGTATGCTTCTGGTATGAAAGAAACTTACGAAAACATGAAATTGCTACTAGAAAAAATTCAGTATAATCATTTTTAATTTAAACTATGTGGTGATTTCAAAGTTATTGCTTTACTTTTCGGATTGCAGAAAGACTGGCTAAAGCCTCCCTCCTAGGAATAAAAATGTTATCCAACCTCCTCTTGTCGAGCCCACCATAGTACTTCTGCCACCACTACATATAAAACTAGGCCTGATAAAAAATTTTTGTCAAAGCCATGGATCGCAACGGTTCAGGTTTTATGTACTTGAAAGAAAAGTTTCCTAAAGTTAGTGACGCTAAAATAAAGGAAGGAATTTTCGTCGGACACCAGATCAGGGGAATTGTTCAAAGATAACATATTCGAAAAAAAGTTGAGTCCGTTAGAGAAATCTGCTTGGAAAAGTTTTAAAAATGTCGTGCAACCAAGATGTTGAGCAACGAAAAGGCAAGTAACAACTACAAAGTTCTGATAGAAGAACTACTTTCGACTTATCAAGCATTGGGTTGTAATATGTCACTCGAAATTCACTTTTTACACTCTCACCTCGACTTCTTTCCCGAAAACCTAAGAGGCGTCAGCGACGAACATGGAGAAAGATTCCATCAGGATATTTCCAGCGTGGAAAAACGATACCAAGCCAAATAGAGTCCTCGCATGTTGAGCGACTTTTGTTAGACGCTTGCAAGAGCCAAATACTCCAGAAAATCATAATTTTTAGTTTTAAAAAACATATTTTCAAGTTGCAGTTCATGAAAAATCTTAGTAACAAGAAAAATATGGGTGCCAAAATTTTTCTACATCTATTTTCCACCTTAGGAAGTTTAAATAAAATCAGCAAAACCTGGTTTCCAGAGAATTACGAATTGACAGAAATGTTTAGTTTCCTAATTTTCTGTTCTAAATAACAAGGAATGCGTTGCAATTCAAATTAAGTTGATCAGAAACACTGTTCAACCCAAAAATTGCAAAAATTCCCCAAAAACTGGTGTCTTCTGCGTCTAAGTTAACTGATGCTGCTTCCTCGATATATTTCGCTACTCTTGTCCGTTGGTGAACCGTGAAGTGTCCCTCTCTAAATCCGTACTGGATGTTTGGGATTATTTTGAGGAGGCTTAACTCTTCTTGTAATCGATGATGGATGACTCGTTCGAATAGCTTAGATAAGGATGAGAGGAAATTGATTGGGCGATAATTAGCTGGATCCGTATTGATTTTGCCTGGCTTTCTGAACATTAAGATTTGCGCTTTTTTCCATACTACCGGAAAGTAGCCAATTTCCAGACAGCGATTAAAAATTCCTGTGATGTGACTCAGCAGTTTCTCCGGAAGGTGTTTTATTACTATATTAGGTATCTGATCTAGGCCTAGGGCTTTTTTAATGTCGAGGTTTGCTATTTCTATCTTTAGTTCTTCTACTGAGATTCTGTCGGTCTCGGTAGTTGCTGAAGTTAGTAGTGCGATTCATTATATTGTTGGATTGTGGTAATGTGACGAATATTCTCATTATTGATATTCGGTCGAAAACATTCTTCCAGATATTTCGCAAAGGTGTTAGCTTTGTCTTCGTCCGAGAATACTGGTGTTTCATTGTCTAATAGGGTAGGTATTTCTTCATATGTCCGCGTATATTGCTTCAAAACTTTCGATGAGTTTTCTATAATTGTTGATTCTATAAGCATCTAGTCTATTCAATGTAGTTTTTATTTCTGGGTTACGCGTCTGTTGCCATTCTCGGCGAACCCTCCGTTTTTCCTTGATTAGTTCTAAGATGTTTTTAGGGGGAAGGTTGTAATTACTTGTGGGATTCCTTTTGAAGGGTTTCGCTGCTTCCTTAATCTTTAAAGTCAGCGAGCGGATTTTTGCGTCTAACTCGTTCGGAGTAGCTGATGTTGGTAAGTTAAATTCTTGATTATTCAGTGAGTCTCCAAACTCTGCTCAGTTGATGAATCCAACGATCAGCTGGAATTTTAGGTCTGTATTCAGGTTGCTTTGCAAGGGTGGTGATTACTGGCAAATGATCCGAGTTTAACTCGCTGATTACACACAGATTTAACTGGCTGGTAAAATTTTTGGTTATTACTATATCTATAATATCGGGTTGATAGTCGCTTCTATATGGAAAGTAGGTAAAATCGATTGGGCAGTGCACTTGAAAAGCGTGCTTAGTTGCTAATAATTTCATGTTCAGTCCCGATGGATTATCTGCTCTGCATCCTCAGAGTTTATTCTTGCTGTTAAGATCTCCTATAAGTAGGGTAGGTATAGAGCTACTCAACATTGAACTTATGTCAAATTCTAGTAGTTTTTTTGCTTAGGTTGTTTGTATCCACATATGATATTAACTGGAGTTGAGTTGTTTGTTTGGATTGCTATTACGTTACTTCAATAGCGGTGGTTTCACAGCTAAATTGATGGTGTTGAATTTGTCTTTTAATTATAATCGCCACCCCTTCGGCAGCTGTGGCGGAAGGCCTATCTGCTCTATATACATTATATCCTGCTATTCGGAAAGTCTCACTTTTAGCTAGGTGTGTTTCCGTGATACAAGCTCCATCAATCTGATAGCGAGCCAAAAACGCAATAAGAAGAGTTCGTTGTTTTTTAATACCATTGGCTCTGAAATTCAGGATGGTTAGGTCGTGTATATTTGTTAGATTAATCGTGAATTAAATGTGGGAGTGAATGGTTAATTACCAATGTTTTGATTTGTGGTATTAGGGATACAAGGAAATCTTTAAGATAGGGGAGGATGGTAGATAGGAGAGGTGCCTGTGATTCTGAGGATTGTTGTTGGTTTGGTTGATTCTCTACTTGACCTGGAGCAGGCGTGCTTTTTACTGTCGATGCGTAGGTCCTGATATTAGCCTTTCTTTGAGATATTGCTTGTGAGCTTTGGGTTCTTTGCGTAAGATGGACTGAAGTTGTTGGACGATGGTGTGTGTTCGGATATTCGATGTGAATTTTACAGCCTCGATAGCTTGCTGGATGATTTTGGCTACAATTGGCACACTTTGGTGGATCAGCTTGACGTTTTTTGCAATTAGTGTCGTGATTTTTTCCGCATTTGACGCACCTGGGGCTCGTTGAGCAGTTATTTTTCGTATGTCCATATCGTTGGCACATATGGCATTGAGGAATCTTTTGGGAATTCCTCCTGGCTTCGACTGTGATGATTGCGTTGGAGATTTCCTTAACTTGATAGATTTCTTTGGCGTTCTCTGTGGTTTCTAGATCTGCTGCGCATAAAGGTATGGGGTATTTCGACTTATTGAGCAATCTCGTGACTCTTATAGCTGGTAGGTTTAGTTGATTCAATTCGGATTTGATTTCTTTATCGGATATTGATATCGAGACATTGCGTAAGATCACAGAAACAGGTTTACTGGCGGGCTCTTGATAGGTATGGAACGGAATTTTGTTTTCTTTCTAGAATTTGGTGACTGCTCTGTAATCATCAGGTATTTGAATTTTTGTATGTAGTAGTGAAACTGTGTTTTGTGTTCGCTTTTAAGTCAATAACTAGTTGCTGGTGGTTTAAGGCACTATGGTTAAAAATAGGGGGAATTTTTTGGTTTTTATTTTCCTCTTTATTATTAAGGTTGTTTGAAGCCGAAGTACTAGGTTCATTGCTCTCATCAGAAACATCCACTAAGGCGGCATATTTATTTTGAGATAGAAGCGTTGTGGGATCCCATGAGTACCTCTTGTTGATTTCCTTGATGGGAGGAGATAAATGATCGGAGGTCCTTTTGTTGTTCATAGAGAATAACGAAGCCTTTAAGAGGCTTCGAAATGTTTATAACTGCAATAAGTTGTTTATCGAAAAATTCCAATGGGAGTATAAAAACCGGTGCATAAACACGTCGCGCTAGACCTGTTCGGAAACGCGTCCGACTGTGATAAATGCCCGGTCGAGACTAGTGTTAGTTCTACATAGTAACAGTGCTAGTGTAAAACTAGAACTGACACTAGACCTAGAACTAAAATCATTCGGATTTAGCCGCACGTCTCTAAAGACGTCTAAACCCGAATGATTTTAGTTCTTGGTATAGTGTCAGTTCCACATAGTAACAAAGCTAGTGTATAACTAGAACTAACACTATACCTAGAACGAGAATCATTCGGGTTTAGCCGCACGTCTCAATAGACTGCTAAACCCGTATGATTCTCGCTCTAGGTATAGTGTTAGTTCTACATAGTAACAGTGCAAGTGTAAAACTAGAACTAACTCTAGACCTACAAAGTTTCTAGTTCTAGGTCTAGTGTTAGTTCTAGTTTTACACTAGCACTGTTACTATCCTTAATTTATACATCATATAGACAACTCGGGGAATACCTCGAATTTATCTATAAACACATAATAGAGCAACTTTTGAAATAACCCTAGTTGGTTTCTATCTATGAACGCTAACATTTATATTTAAATATACTGATGTATTCAATAGATAATATTAATAGTACGACTTAAATATATTTTGTCCGTTCTAACGACGCGACGTCTGTTATATCGAAGTTTTACTGTACTTTAATGACTTAATAATTTTTGAATTTTAATTTAGACGACACCATCGATGAAGAATCCATAAAAAACACATCATTAGGAGAAAACGATTTATCAACTTCCACTAAAAAAAGTGATATTACATCGAAATATGCCATTTTAAAACGAGATCACTCTAACTCTTCAAGTTTGAGCTTTAGCCAAAAGTCGAGAAAATCTAGTTTGAGTTCATTGGAATCAATAGATGATCAAATGAGTTTTAATACAAAGAATTTATCGATGAGTTGCGAGAAAATTCCAGATTTACTAGCGGGAAATAAAGAACAAGTTACCGTTACCCATATTAACAGTCCAAGTTCGTTTTACGTGCATTTCATTAAGTCGCGAAATACTTTTAACGAATTAACACGCGTTGTTAGCAAGTATGCTAAAGGAACATGTATAAAAGTCGAACCTGAATTGAGTAAGTATAAAAAATGAATTAAGAAATGAATGAAGATTTAATTGATTAATTAATCAATTTTTAAGATGAAATTTATTTGGTAAAATTTTCCGACCCAAATCATACAAAATGGTATCGCGGTCGAATTACGGAAATTGATAAAATCTCCGATAAATACACTGTATTCTTTATTGATTACGGAAACACTTCCGTTGTATCAAAAAAATGGTAAATTAAATTAAATTAAATTAACCGAATTTATTCTTTATAAACAATTTATATTTGCAGGATCAGATATCTTCCACCAAAATTAATGAAATTCCCGCCATTAGCAATTCATTGTAAATTTTCTGAATTATACCCTTTAGAATCATTTTGGAATATAAACGCGCTATCTTTGATGGCCGATATCGTGAATAACGAAATATTATTGATGATTATCATTAAGAACTCTTTGGATGCGTTGGAAGTTGATTTAATTACTTTGGATGGAACCACTTCCGTTCGAGAAGCTTTGATTTTTAGTAGAGAAGCTGTCCCGATTTTAAATTCAAATCATCTTGTTTTAGAAGCGAAAAAGGTAATTATTAAATATTGCATGAAATGTTTCATAATATTTTTATTCACTCGATTTAATATTATTAATTTGATATTGTACCGGAAATTTCATATAGCTCGCAATATATGAATGCAGTAACTATAGTTATGAACCTACTACTGTACTTGCCTACATAAAATGCAACATAGCTTAATAATACACAGGCAGTGGGTAGTTTTGCAAAGGAAAAGTTTTGCTTGGAAAACCCGAATGTTTCTGGTTCTAGGTCTAGTGTTAATTCTACTGTTCGTTCAATAAAAGTATACCAAAATCGAACGCTGAATAACAGTTAAAATTGGAACTAGCACTAGATATAGAACTAGAAACATTCGGGTTTAGCCGCACGTCTCTCGGTATGGCTAAACCCAAATGATTCTAGTGCTAGGTTTTGTGTTAGTTCTAGTGATAGTGTAAAACTAGAACTAACACTAGACCTAGAACTAGAAAGTTTCGGGTTTAGCCGTGCGTCTTCAGACGCACGTCTTATTTTATTTATTTATTTGTTATTGGGACACAAACAGGGAGGATATCCCCAGTGAAGCATCCTCATAAAAACAAAGCACTTAACTACATACTAAGCAAAAAAACGAGAAAAAAAAATAATAATTATAACATTAACTATGAAAATAATAATAACAGCATTGATACTTGCTAATTAAAAAAAAATTACAAAAAAAAAAGCGAAAAATATTATATAATTGTACTACAATACAGAAGTTAACAACTAAACGTTACGTAATAGTAATTCTGTAAATGAGCGCAACGAGAGTCCAAATAGAGTAACATGGTTGAAGTCCTGATTGTAAGTATTCAAAAGCCGAACGATAGGCGAGTTTAGATGAGCGTTCGTGTTCGATGTGCCTAAAAGGAATGTAGTATTCCGCCGCGTGAAACGCTGTGGTACATTAAAGTTCAACACAGACAGAAGATCAGGTGCGTCCAGCAAGCCATTGACCAGTTTGAAAAGAAAAATTAAGTCT